GGAGCATGTACAAGAAGGCAGTCAGTGGATGTTTCCTTCACACATCTCTCTCTCTCTCTCTTTCTCTCTCATCAATGAGAAAAATGTCTCCTTGTGAGGATAAAAACTTTTTAAAGTGTAACATCATGTCTCTCATACAGATATAAAATAAACATGTGTTAAGGATTTTTATTGTATTTAAAAACACCTAACATCAAATCTACCCTGATAACCATTATTTTAAATATATTTTATTAATTATGCCATCACATTTTTCCCATTTCCCTTCTTCATTCCCCTCCACCCTGCACACCCCCTCCCACCCACATTGCCCCCTTTAGTTCATGTCCATGTGTCACAAGTTCTTTAGCTTCTACATTTCCCATACTATTCTTGCCCTCCCCCTGTCTATTTTCTACCTACCATCTATGCTACTTATTTTCTGTAGCTTCTCCCTCCTTCTCCTCCTCCCACTCCCCTGTTGCTAACCCTCCATGTGATCTCCATTTCTGTGGTTCTGTTCCTGTTCTAGTTGTTTGCTTAGTTTGTTTTTGTTTTTGTTTTAGGTGTGGTTGTTAATAATTGTGTGTTTGCTGTCATTTTACTAGACATGTTTTTTATCTTCTTTTTCTTAGGTAAGTCCCTTTAACATTTCATAAAATAAGGTGCTTGGTCATGATGAACTCCTTGAATTTGACCTTATCTGAAAAGCACTTTATCTGCCCTTCCATTCTAAATGAAAACTTTGCTGGATAGAGCAATCTTGGATGTAGGTCTTTGGATTTCATGACTGGAGTACTTTTCCAGCCCCTTCTTGCCTGTAAGGTGTCTTTGGAGAAACCAGCTGACAGTCTGATGGGAACTCCTTTGTAGGTGACTGTCCCCTTATCTCTTGCTGCTTCTAGACTTCTCTCCTTCATTTTAATCTTGGCTAATGTAATTATGATGTGACTTGGTGTGATTCTCCTTGGGTCAACCTTCTTTGGGACTCTCTGAGCTTCCTGGACTTCCTGACAGTTTGTTTCCTTTGCCAGATTGAAGAAGTTCTTATTTATTAAAATGAATTTTCTGCTTGGTGCTTTTGCTCTTCCCCTATTGGTACCCCTATAATTTGGATGTTGGAATGTTTAAAGATGTGATGGAGATCTCTAAGCCTCTCCTCATTTTTTAAAAAATTCTTGTCTCTTCATTCTTTTCTGTTTGGTCATTCTGATAACCAATTTTTAAGAGCCTAGTATTACCCACTTCAGGCACTTTGTTGTACACAGCTCCCTAGAACTTTCTCATCTTGCATAACTGAACCTGTATTCCCACCACACAGCACCTCCCCATGTTGTCTGACTCATGAGTGAGAGAACCAGGCAGAAGTGACCAGCACAGACCTGTATGGAGTCCGTGAGGGTTGAAGGGAAGTTGTGAAGGGATGTGACACTGGGTTGGTGGGGGGATTCAGGTGACCCTCCAGCAGACAGCATGCCTGTGTGTGTCTCTGGACTTGAACTATTTGCACAGTTCCCAGTTATCTGTAAACTAAGGCAGTGTATAACAGTTCAAATGCAATAGGAGGCCAAAATCAGATAGTGTGTGTGGTAAAGAATGCCCAGTCTCCCACCGCAGATGGCCAGTCATCTCATTTTTGCCTAAAGTTCCTTTCAAGCATTAAAGCAGATACTTATTGATCATCTAATATAGGCTGAGCATATTTGTAAGCAGTGTGGTGGATTCAGCTGTAAGGAGAGTTACAAGACTCTTCCTGAAGCTTACATTCTAAGGGCAGGAAAGACAGACTGAGAATGACTAAGTAGATCATATGTTATATGGATTGGTGATACTGAGTCTGGAGATAAACAAAGCAGAAAAGGTATGTAGAGAACATGGGATGGATTATATTCTTCATGTGATTATTGAGAAGCTGAGGTCTAAGTGTGCCCACATGAGGTTCACAGACACATGCACACCTCAGATGTGTGCACACGCAGAGAGCACAGAGACACACACAATCACAGACACCCACATAACCACACAGAGACCCTCCACACCCATAGACACAGATACACCTCAACACACACACACACACAGAAAAGCACCCCAGACAGACACAGGGAAAAAGACAGGCACCACCACATACACACTCATGCACCTTAGACACATACAGAGAGACCACACATGGTGCATGCACACAAACACACATGCACAGGTACATACTTCACATACCCACACAGACACAAACACCAGGTACACAGACTGTAAACACAGACACACTTGTACACAAACACACAACACGGACATGCACACAAAGACACAGAAACACATACACACTTCAGATATCCACACAAACGCACCTCACATACACACAGACCTCAGAGACAGACACAGAAACTCACACGTATACAGACTTACAGACAGAAACACATGCCTCAAAGACACACTTCCAAAGAACACAGACACACACGACAGACCTCAAGCCCCCTGGGTCCTCACATGGAGCTTTGCCAGAGAAGAGTCAGGCCTCATGGTCAGGCCAACCAGACCCAACATCCCAGCAGTAGGGAAAGGTCAGGGATGCTCATGACTCCAGGTGCCTCTCAGCCCACCATTGACATTCCCTCTCATTCCCAGAAGCCACCCCCTGCCCATTGCGTCACCATATGCCCCCAGTCCCTGAGCCTGTGGTCCAGCAGACCCTTTGGCCTCATCACCCCCCCACCCACTGCTGGCCGGTGAGGGAATTACATTTGTGTCCACACTCACCAAGCACTGGGGGATGGGCAGGGAAGGTGGGAACATCTCTCCAACTTTGGGGAGACTGAGACCTGAAGCCAGGGCAGGTGGGAAGGAAAGTGGACTCACCTGAAAGGAGTAGTGGGTGGAGAAGCAGAGGGAGAACCTAAAGAGTGAAGGGGAAGCAGGAGAGGAGGAGATGGAGGAGGGGGAAGTGGAGGGGAGGGGCAGGAGAGATGTGGACAAAATGGGGGAGGGAGGGGGGGAGGCAGATTCCCTTGGATGCTGGAGCAGAAAGGCTGAAGGAACGACTGAGATAAGGGGGCTACAGTGGGACCCCTCTCTGCCCCACCAGCGTCTCTGGCTCTGGTCCTGCTCTGTCAAATGGGGTGACTTGCCTCCCATACAACTCTGCTCCCCTTCCATCCCCTACCACCTGTCCTGCTCACCTCTCCCATCCCCCACAGCCACCCTCCCTCCTTCCTCAGGTTCCCCCAACCCACCCTCCCCTGTGTCAGCCCTGACCAGCCAGGCTGTGACTTTGTCCCTGCCCCCCACTCCAGGTCCAGCAGGGTCTGCCTCACCTCAACCCAGCCCCTCAAGAACACCCTGCTCCACAGATGGGAGGCAGGTACCCAGGGTGGAGGGAGCATTTTGAACTGATCCCAGGAGGCTAATCCTGCCCTGGGGAGAGGAGGAGCAGGGTGGCTGTGCTGAAGCTGCAGCCCTGCAGAGTGCAGAGCTGGTGGTGGAGGAGCAGCGGGGATTCCTTCTGGGTTTCCTCCCGTTACCACATCCTTCACTTCCTTCTCTTCCTCCTTCTCCCAGAGCACCCTCATCCTACAGACCCGCCCCACCTGTGCAGTGTCCACTGTGGGCCAGGCCAGGCCACTCCGCACACTTTACTTGTAGGAACACCTGGATCTTCTCAGCAACCAACCCACTGTGTTCCCTGGCTCTGTCTGTCATGCCACAGTGACACCACCAGGGGCATAAACCACAGAAATTCATATTCTCACAGTTCTGGAGACCGGAAGTTCAACATCAAGGTGTTGGCAGGACTAGTCCCCTCTTAGGCTTCTCTGTTTGGTTTGCAGATGGTTTTTCCCCTGCAGTCTCTCCTCTGTGCCTGTCTGTGCCCTAAACTCTCCTTATTAAAGCACCAGTTCTATTTGATGAGAATCTACCCTAGTGACCTCATTCTCCTTCATCCCCCTAAAAGACCCATCTCCAACACCAGGCACATTCAGGAGTAGTGGGGGCCACAACACAAACAAATGAATTTTGGGGGTGACAGAATTCAGCCCACAGCACCTCCTGAGCCTGGGCGTCCGGCTGTGCACAGGCAGTGAGGCCTTTCCCCAGGCAGCACAGTGAGCAGGAGGGAGCCAGGCTGGAGCCCAGGGACGTCTGCCTGGAAAGCCTGCACCCCTCACCCCACCCTGGAGGCCTCCACTGAGGAAGCCCTGGGCTGAGATGGCCATCAAGAGACATCTACTGGATTCAGAGTGAACACTGAAGATTGGTCAAGGCCAGCACCTGCCCTTACTTAGGGTTCCCCACAGACGACCAGGGTTGGGGACTGTGAGGCCTCCCTGTGACAGATGAAGAAAGTGAGGCTTGGAGGGCAGAAGAGCCAGGCCCACCTGACTCCAAAGGCATCTGCTGGCATTTTGCTGTGAATCAACACCAGGGATGCCCGGGCAGGGGGGCTCCAAGCAGGTCAGCCAGCTGAGACCACCTGTGGGGTCACAGGCTGCTGACCCCCTCAAAGTCCTGATCCTGTCCTCTCTGGCTACTATCACATGGGAGCTGCCCAGAGGAACTGAGTTTCCTACTTGCCCCGGCCTGTGCTCCCACCAATACACCCAGGACCACCTGGAGCTGGTGTGGACTGGGGTCCCTCTGCCCCCTCGGGTGTTAGGGTGACTCTCAGTAATAAGGACCAAGGCTGCCATTGTCTCCACTTTGACTCCATGCCCCTGAGAGAGTAGATGCTCTGGTGGGCAGTGTGTTCATTCATTCGTCCATCACCAACTGTCTCACCTGAAGAGCTCTGTAACATTTCATGCCTTCTCGTTCCCCTGTCAGCCCCTCCTGAGTCCCTCTCCCAGGGGACTGATCTGTGTATTGTACAGAAGCCGTCCCTGCTTTTCTGAGTGGACAGCAGTGACAGAGGGACAGGGGAGGACAGGAAATTGAGAGAGGTAGGGTGGGTCCTCCTCTGTGCATAGGGACATACAGGATGCCATGTGGAAAGTGGAAGTGCTTATTCTCCAAGGGCTGGGCCGGCTCTCCCACTGGGGCTGCCCACTTCCTCCTCACAGATTGTCACCTTTCTCCCTTCCCCCTGGCTTCCTGTTGGGACTTCCTCTCAGTCCTGTGACACCAAGACCCTGACACTTACCCCAGAGATGCTGCTGCTGCTGCTGCTGGCCCTGCTGTGGGCAGGTGAGTGCCCCAGGGGGAGCCTGTGGGCTGGGGTGGAGGCTGTGGCTGATTGGTCTTTCCCCACAGGGTCCCTGGCTGAGGATGAAGAATTCTGGCTACAAGTTCCGAGGTCTGTGACGTTGCAGGAGGGCCAGTGTGTCTCTGTGCCCTGCACTGTGATCTACTCCAAGAAAGGCTGGAACGAGTCTACCCCAGCTCATGGCTACTGGCTCAAGGAAGGGACCAACACAAACAAGGATGCTCCTGGGGCCAAAAACAACCCCAATCGTAAAGTGAAGAACCAGACCACTGGTCTATTGCACCTTGTTGGGGATCCACAGACCTACAACTGTTCCCTGCACATCAGAAACGCACAGAGAGGAGACACAGGAAGATACTTTTTCCGGGTGGAGAAAGGATCCTCTGTGAAACACAGTTACATACACAATCAAGCTCTCTGTTCAAGTGACAGGTAAGAAACAGGGACAAGGTGAGGACACGTGTCTGGGTCCTGAGGGCTTCTGGGCTAGGACAGAACCTGATTCTCCTCATCCTGGGAAGGACTCAGGGGCACCAATGGGGACTGGACCCTGGGGCTGGCCTGGCACTGAGGCTGCAGTTAGAGGGACACCTGGGGACCCCACCTCCAGTGCCTTGGTCTCTCTCTCTCTTCTCCAGATCCAGTACCTGACATCCATATCCAGAGGACCCTACAATCTGGCCACCCCAACAAGATTACCTGTACAGTGTCATGGGCCTGTGACACACAGACACCACCCATCTTCTCCTGGATGGGGGACAACTTTATACCCCTGGATCTCAGGACTCCCAACTTCTCAGTGCTCACCCTCACACCAGAGCCCCAGCACCACGGCACCAACCTCACTTGTCGGGTGAAAATGCCTGGTGGTGAGATCAGGGAGAGGACCGTCCAGCTCAATGTGACCTGTGAGTACGCACCCAGTGAGGACACCAGTCCTTGAGGACGGATGGAGTTGGGGGCATAGGGTTGAACTGTGGAAGCGGGGCCTGGGAAGAAGGAAGGAGGACACCCAATTTCACCCGTTTTTTGTGTACCATGTTGGTGGGTGGAAAGGGCCAATGCCCACCATTCTGCCACTCTGAAGGGAACAATTATGTCTGTCTGTCCAGATGCTCTCCGGAACCTGACCATTGTGTCCTTGACAGAAGGTACAGGTAAGGAGAATCTTCTCCTGTCTGGGGGGTGGAAGGGGGTCTCCCTGTGCCCTGCAGAGCAGAGCTGGGATTTCAGAACTCACCTGGGGGACAGACTCACGCCAGGTGAGAGGAGAGCAGAGGGGAGAGGCCCCCTACTCACTCCCTCTCAACTCACAACCTGGCCTCCTGACCTTGACCCCCTCACGGGACACTGCATGAGGTTCTCAGATGCACAGCACTGTGGCCAGACATTCATAGAACTTACAAAGGTATAAGTTTAGTTCCCCTCTGGCACCATCCATAGTTATTACAATATTATTCACTATATTCCCTCTTCTGTACTTTACATCTGTGACTATTGTTATAAAGGGCAATTTGTAATACTATTTTTTAAATCTCCCTTGATTACTGCCAGCAGCCTCATGTAAACACCCCCAACATGGCCACACAGTCGGGCCCCACAGGACTACTTGCTCCTCTGGGAGCAGGCAGGGCCACGCACCACCCTGGTGGTAGTTGTGCTGTGTGCCATCCTCCCACAGTGTCCTCCATACCAGCACCATCGCCTGGCCAGTTCCCTCCCCTTCTTGTGCTCTGCTTAACCTCTCCTCCTCCAGGAAGCCCTCCCTGACCTGCCAGTCTCATTCAAGTCCCGTCCTCAGGGCTCCCTCAATGCAGTTAACCCCCCATCACAAAGTGGGTCTTACTGCTCTGTGAGAACCCCCTTTTGGGGCATCTCATCCATGAGACTGTGAGCTGTGAGAACAGCTGAATTGGGCAGGTCATGGTGTACCAGTGTTGACAGACGTAAATGTCAAGGTTCATACAGAGAAATCTGGGGTCTGCATTGGCACTGGTGGTCAAGGCAGAAGGCCTGGGGACCTAGGTGGTCCAACCAAACACTCAGCAGCCCCTTGCAGAGGCTGTGATCTTGGGGCTGAACTCAGATGGCAGAGCCCACGGGATTATGGAAGAGAAGAAACTGATGTACACAATCTAAGGGGGGGGGAGGGAAAGAGAGAAAGAGCACAGAGATGATGAGACAGAAACAGTGGGAAATATAGAAACAAAGAGAGAGAGAGAGAGACATATGGATGAAGAGGGAGATGGAGAGGAAGAGCCAGGGAGATGCAGAGAGAGGCAGAGCCACAGAGAGGCAGACGTGCAGACGGGGAGAGAAGGAGACCGAGGGAAACCTAACCAGAGCTGGGGCTTGACTCCCTCTCTGTCTTTCCAGTTGCTGAAGCTCTGGCCAATGGCTCATCTCTCCAAGTCCAGGAGGGCAAGTCCCTGCACCTGCTGTGTAAAGCTGACAGCAACCCGCCCACCAGTACAAGGTGGACCCGGGGCAGCCTGACCCTGGAGTCCACGAACCAAGGGGTCCTGATGCTGCCCCAAGTGGAACTGGAGGACTATGGGAAATACATCTGCCGAGCTCAGCAGCTCCAGTCAGTTTCTCTGGAAGTGTCTGTGACCCTCAGTGTCAAGAGTGAGTAGGGACACACCTGTGGGTAGGGGCCTGGGATCTTGGGGGGTAGAGGGTCTCATCTGATCCCTCCCCTGTTTCTCCCCACAGACCCTCCACAGCTGCAGGGACCCTCCTGCTCGTGGGAGGATGGGGGTCTGCACTGCAGCTGCTCCTCGAAAGCCCAGCCCACCCCCTCGCTGCTTTGGTGGCTGAGGGATGGCCTGCTGGAGGGGAACCACAGCAATGCCTCCCACACAGTCACCTTCCACTCAGCAGAGCCCTGGGCCAACAGCTCCCTGAGCGTCCGTGGGGAGCTGACATCCAACCTCAGGCTCAGATGTGAGGCCCAGAACGCCCACGGGAAGGAGACAGTGACTGTCCTGCTGCTGCCAGGTCAGGGTGTGCCTGGTGAAGCCCAGGGAGGGGGTGCACAACCCTGGACCCTAGAACACACTGAGTGGGAGGGAAAGTGTCCAGACTCTAGGAAAAGAAGCACTGAAGTCCAGGCCCCAAAGACATGTGGCTGGGGAGGGGGCTGGGGGGCCTGGAGGCTGCAGTCATATGAATGGGGGGGGACAAAGGGGTCCTGGATGGGACTGGGCACACTGATCAGCATGGGTTTGAGAAGGCGGAATGCTCAGATACCTGCTTAGGGAAAGAGGAGCTCACCCCAGGTGTCTCGTCTCTGCAGGGAGACCAGGACATAGGACAGGAGTGATTCAGGGGGCTGTCGGGGGAGCTGGTGCCACAGTCCTGCTGGCCGTCTGCCTGGGCCTCATCATGTGAGTGGGTCGTGACCCCAGGCTGGGCAGAGGCCTCAGGAGGTGGAGGTGGTGGTGTGTGGGGGTGGGGACCCACAGAATCTCCAAACCTGAAAGCCCAGAGTGGTGACAAGGTGGTCAATCCAGGAAGATGGGCCACAAGTTGATGCGGTGACAAGAAGCCAGCCTCCTGGCACCTTGGCCAGGTGCACTGTGTTCCCAACACCTGGTTGCAGCTGTCTGGGAGGAGGGGCGTGTGCTCCCGTCCTGGTCCCTGCAGCCAGGCAGCAGCCTCCACACCTGCCTCAGTAAGCCCTGCCAGGCCCCAGGTGGGAGCCTGCTGGGCTGAAAGGCCCCTTCTCTCTTCTCAGACTGAGGATCTGCAGGAAGAAATAGGCAGAGAAGGCAGAGAGCCAGGAAGGCATCTCCCAGGTGAGTGCCGAGGTCCACATTCCACCCAGTGTCCTTGTGGTGAACACAGGAGCTCCTCCTCTGCCCCCAAACTGGGCCCTCCCCCAGGTTTTCTGACAGAGCCCGTCAGATCTGAGGATTGTCCTCTCCCGCATCCCTCAGAACCTGCAACTGGCCAAGTCCTGACCCATTTCCCTTGGAGGAAGGCCCTTCTCCTTTGCTTCCTGTCTGGCCAAGCCCTCAACCACTACCCTGGGTCCCTGACTCCACCTCCCCTCCCGGAATATTCCCCACACAGCTGTGGTGCTCCCACCACTAACATCATCGAGTTTAACAGAAATGCAATATGAAAAATGTTTATAACTTACAATGAAAAAGTAGGAAGGAACATGAGATCACCTTTCTTATCTGTAAAGTGAGATAACAGTCATATCCATGAGGAGGGGTCATAAGTTTTATGTGAGATCAGTAATAAGCACAAAATTTTGTGATAAAATTTGTTAATGGTACAAATGGATAAATGAGTGAATGAGTGAGTGAGTGAATCCTCAGGAAATGGGTGTGAAATGGACAAATGAATGAGACCCCCAAGCCCCAAGTACCCGTCTCCAGACCCCAAAGGCCAGCTCAGACACCCCTCTCTCCTCCCACTCAGGGTCACCTGAATGCACCCTCCTCCCACCACCTGCCCCCAGCACCGGCCGCCTCCCCCTCTGAGCATGAGCTCCATTACGCTGCTCTCAGTTTCCACAACATGAAACCACACAACCCTCAGGCACAGGAGACCCCGTACTCTGAGGTCAAGCTCCGGAAATGATGGTGCACCCCCACCCGCAGTAGCTGGCTGGGGAGCCCAGAGAAAGCATTTCTGCAAAGAAGGTGTGTCAGGGTCTGATTCTTAAACAGTTAACAGCCCTCTGAGCCAAAGGTCATGAATAGAAACCTGAAGTTCCTTGGAGTGACTGAAGTTGTGGAGATTTCTGGGTTCGAATCCAGGCCCAGCTACTTACTGAGGGTGTTCCAGCAGGCAAGTCACTTCACCTCTGTGTGCCTCAGTTTCCTGCTCTGTAACATGGGGGATAATTTGATGACCTACATTGTTAGGTGATGAAACATGCACCATTTGCATTAAGGACATTGTTATGTGCTAAGTTCACCTCAGGATGGAACAGAGATGTCACTTTTATTTTTTTTTTTTTATTTTTTAATGCTTTGCCTCTACCTCTATCTTCTGTTTGGCTGACAATTTTAAGAACATGCGTTATCTTCTTTGCGTGGAGAGGAGCTTGTATTATTTAAAAACATTTCTCTTCCTAAATGTAACTCCTTGGCAAGAGATTTTCCAGTACATGTACGTAACCAAGGGTTCATCCAGAGTAAATGAAGACTGTTTAAAGATCTTCCAAAAATCAATGAGGAAAAGGCAGACCACCCAAGAGAAAAAAAACAAGAAAAAAATGAGATTCCAAGGGCCAATAAGCACCTAGGAAGGCAGCAGGCTTCAGTAGTGGTCAGGGAACTGCAAATAGAAATTGTGGTGCTCTACCACCACACAGCCACCACACTGGGGAAAATAATAAAAAAGACTATAAAAAGCGGGCCTGCGAACCACATGATCGCGGTTGGATTCCCAGTCAGGGCACATGCCTGGGTTGCAGGCCAGTTCCCAGCAGGGGACACAGGAAAGGCAACCATACATTGATATTTCTCTCCCTCTATCCTTCCCTTCTCCTCTAAATATAAATAAATAAAATCTTTTTAAAAAAGACTATAAAAATACCAGGTGTTGAGAACACTGCATTGAGTGAACAAGGAGCCAGTCACCGAAAGACAGGTACTGTGATCCCAGCTACACACTGTATCTGCAGCCATTAAACTCTCGGAAAAAGAGGTCACAGGGCCCCTGAGGAGGGAACATGGGAAGTCTGTGCAGAGTTTCAGTTTTGGAAGATGAAGAGGTTCTAGAGAATCATGGACAGCCATGTGGGTAGACTTAACACCACTGTTCTGTGCAGTTAAAAATAGTGAAGGATTTTGTGTTTTTAAACACAGTAAAGAAAAGTAACATATAGTGGCTTCCAAAGGCCTGAGACTGGGGGACTGGGTGGGCTGTTTGTGTTGAACGGGTACAGAATTTCAGTTCAGGATGAAGAAGAAGTTGTAGAGGTAGAAGGTGTTGATAGTAGCACAAAGTGAATGTACTTAAGGCCACTAAACTGTACATTTAAAAATAGCTAAGGAGTAAGTTTTATGTTGCACATGCCTTATAGCGATAAAAAAGTTTTCAAAGACGATCAAATGTTGGTTGGGATGTGGAGCCACTGGAACTCCAAGACAGGCTGGTGGGGAGGAGAACTGGGACGACCTCTTGGGAAACACTGAGCATACAAGCCAGCAGTTCCACTCTGGGGGGCTGCCCTAACACAGATGTGTGCAAATGCCCCTGAAATGTGCACCTGGAGGTCCCCAGCAGCACTCCCTGTGAGGGCTGAGCAATGCAACCTCCCCAAAATTTCATCAGTGGGTCCACATAGTGCAGATTATTTACACAGTGGAAGAAGCAAATAAGAACTCCACACCATGGGTGTGAATCCTACCTCCACATTCTGTTGAGGAGGGAACCCAGACACAGAGTATGCGCTGTGTGATACTGTTGACATGAGGTTCAGAAGCAGGCAAAACTCATCTTTGGGCCCTGGCTGGTGTAGCTCAGTGGATTGAGCACTGGCCTGTGAACCAAAGGGTTGCCAGTTTGATTCCCAGTAAGTTCACGTGCCTGGGTTGTGGGCTAGATCCCCAATGAGAGACGTGCAGGAAGCAACCATACACTGATGTTTCTCTCCTCTTTCCCCTTCTCTTCCCCTCTCTAAAATACATAAATAAATAAAATACTATTAAAAAATTTTAAAGGGTGACACACTATAAATGCTTCAACATAAATGAACATCAGAAACATGCTACATGAAAGACACCAGGCATGAAATATTACATATTGTGTGACTCTGTTAACACACAGCATCCCAAATAGATTAATCGATAGAGACAGAATGCAGATTAGGAGCAGCCAGGAGCTTCAGGGGAGACCCGATGGGGAGCGACTGATTCACGGGTATGGGGTTTCCTCTGTTCAGGTGATGGAAACTGTTTTGGGACAAGATAGAGATGGCAGTTACACAACATTGTCAATGTGCTAAATGACACTAAATTGTTCACTTTGGAAATGGTTAGTGTTATGTTACGTATTTCCCCTTTATTAAAAAAAAAACATCATTTAAACTCTTCAACTCATCCCATCAGGAGTCAAACACCTGAGTCACCACTTAGCCTCTGGCTCCTTCCACTGCCTCATCTGTGAAATGAGGTAAAAACATGCCTCAGCCCATGTGGCTGTTCTGGGAATTCCATAAATTAATGGGCCTGGACACAGTCAGCGCCTGGTGCATGGCAAGCCTCAGGAAGGATCAGCGCTGGGTGGCTGGTCAAAGTGTCCTCAACCATGCACTGCCCAGGTCATCATTCAAGTCCCTAAATGACCTCTTGGTGTCAAGTCCTTAACAAGCAGTCACAGACTTTCCATTTGTCTCTGATGAAGTGGGTGTTCCTGTGGTTACCAGAAAGGCTGCTGGTGCAGAAAGTGGCAAATAAGTAGAAGGGCTGTTTCAAGGAATTATGGCCAAGCTTTTGTCTCACGTACCCTTCCCACATGGCCCATTCCCACAAGTCACCAAGTCCCTGATCTGGGCTCCATTTCATCCCATCCAGCCATGTTGCCAACACCAGCAGCGCAGGGAGCTTCTCACACTCAGCTCCAACTCTGCCCTCCTCTCTGGCTAGACATCCTTCCCCATCTGCTACTTTCAAGGTATCCACTCTGGTGGGAGTTGTTCAGGAATGTCCACAACCTCACCATCATTGCCTCATTCATCACACACCTCAGCCACATGCCTGCCACCACCTGAAAACCTCCTGCCCTTCTGGCTGCTCCACACTGAATTCACTTGGTTCCACTGCCCTGTCAAAGTGTCCCCGTTTGCCATCTTTGCAGCACATGGTTATCCTGTGAGATCCAGCTCAAATATCACCTCCTCACACAAGCTGTGTTCACTGCCTTTCCAAACCTCCACCCCTGCCCTTTCCCACGGGTTGGATTAGGGTCATGGTTCTATCAATATCAGTGCTGTTGATATTGGAGCATTTGTAGCTGAGTGGGGTTTTTCGTTGTGTGGAATGGGCTGTCCTGTGCATTGTAGGATGTTAAGCAGTATCCCTGATCTCTGCCAACAGATGCTAGGAGCTTCCTCAGCCCTGTTTTGACAACCAAAGTATCTCCAGACATTTCCAAATGTCTGTGGATGGTAAAACTCCTCCGATAAGAACCATGGGGTTAGGGTGTCCCACCTGTGCCTTCACAGAGTCACTTTGGCAATTGATAAACTTTTTCCAGTTCTTCTTTTCAAGGTCACCAGAGAAAACTGTACTCCCAGCTCATTTCATAATGAAAGTGCATTTCAGCTCCTTTGCATCACATTCATGAGGGAAACATTGGGAAATTTTTACATTTCTCCCCATTTCTTTGTTCTCTAAACGTTTACTGCATGTCCATTATACAATGGAGACAGTAAGAGGAGGAAGATACAGTTCCTGCCCCAGGGAGGCTCAATTCGTGGTTTTGGGGTTTGGGGAAGGCACAGAAATATGTAAACTATTAGAACACAGCGTGGTGAGGTTCCCATGACCTGGGGGTCCAGGGACAAAAATCTCTGGCCTCTGCCCTCAGGGATGGAAAGGGAGTGAGAAAAGGCTTCTCAGGAGAAACTCCTCTCGAGATGCACCTTGAGGGGAAAGCATGAATTGGCCAAGCAGAGACGGGAGAGAAAGGATCCCAGGCAGTGGTGACATCAGGCACAAAGCAAGGGGCTGGGAGAGGTCCTGGCCACTGTCTGGGCAGGAGCAGTCCATGTGTGATAGCTGGAACCTGGGGTAAAGGAGGCAAGGTGGGGTCACGCCCCTGGATGTCTGTCTGAGGTGTGCTCTCCAAGGGCCCCACAGCCAAGCAGCGGAGGCTGGCCTTCAACCTTCAGTCTGTCACGTAAAGACAAATCTGGAACTAGATAAGGAGAAACGTCATTCAGAAAGATTATAGTAAGCCCTGGGAAGTGGCTTAGTTGGTTGCAGTGTGGTCTCCTACACCAAAGAGTTGTTTGGATTCCTGATCAGGGCACATGCCTAGGTTTTAGTTTTGATCTCTGGTTGGGATGTATATGGGAGACAACTGACCAATATTTCTCTCTTCCTCTCTCAAATCAATAGAACCATATCCTCAGGTGAGGATTTTTGAAAAAAGGAGAGTGGGATTTTTGCAAGGGGGGTGGAAACTATTACTGTAAGGGAAGAAAGACTGCTTTTGTCACAAAACAAGTCCTACTACATTTTGAAAGCTGGATATCATCTCTTCACGTCACGGTGGAATGAAACTAGAAATCTGGAACAGGAAAATTTTAAACTCGCAAATATGTGAAAAGCAACAACATGCATTTAAACAACCAGTGGATCAAAGGATAAGTCAGAAGAAACATTAGAAAATACCTGAGGATGGGGTGGAGTGGGAGAGTGGTGGGGGGAAGTGGAGACAACTATTTCCAAAATATGGCATGGTTCTACTTATATGAGGTACGTAGAACAGTCAAATTCACAGAGAAGGTAGACTAGGGATTACTCAGTACTGAGGAGAGAAGGAATTGGGGAGTTATTGTTTAATGGGTACAGCATTTCCGTTTGAAATGACAGAAATTTTTTCCTGGAGGTGGGGAGCAGTAATAGTTGAACAACAATGTGAATGTTCTTAGTGACACTAAATTGTACACTTAGAAGTCTTAAAGTGATGTGTTTCATGTAATGTATATCTTATCACAGTTTTTAAAAAGAATATTGTACTATCTTCACAGTCAATTCTAATTCATTTTTTGACTCAATAAAATCCCAGTCAGAATTCTGGGAAGGGAGAAAGAGCAAGAGAATCAACAAGTTGATTCAGTTTTTTAAATAAGATTCAAAAGAGCTCAAAGAAACAAGACACTCTTAAAGAAGTACAAAGTTGGAAGACTTAAAATGCTTGACT